CCTATTTCGATCAAACGCGGACGCTGTGCACGCTCGAGCCTCGCCGATGCGCTCACCACACCTTCCGTGGCGCGCGGCCATGTTAAGGCACATGTAGGTAGGGTTGAAGAGCAGATTCTTGAAGGCCAAAGGAAGGTCCGCAGACTCTTGCCAAAGCCACTCCGCGCCACCTCCTCGTCCGCGCTGCCGTGGTGTTCCTTCACCCGTTCTGCCTGCGCCCGGGAAGCCCCTGCAGTAGAGAGAGATTTAGTAAGAGAGGGTAAGATTTATGGGTGTAGTCGTAGCCATCTCATCTTACTGTATTACCGAGACTCGATCTATCACAATTCTCATTAATTACCATTCACGCTATTCTAATTATTATTCATGCCTTTTGCTCGCGATCTGTCGCTCTTTTTTTAATCGCCGTCTTAATTTTTATTAACCTTTTATATCTACCGTTTTAATTAGTTTTCACTTTTTATGTCTATCGTTCTAATTATTATTGACTTTTTATATCTATCGCTGTAATTATTATCTCCTTTTATATCTACCATGCTGATTATTATTCACGCTTTGTAGCTATAACTACATGCATTACGCAATTAATTACGTTTTGCATTCCGGCACCGCTGCTCGCTATTCAACATTTTATATTTGCTGATATCATTTCTGTGTGTCTCCCGCATGCTAGTTGATATTCGTGCGCCATAGCTCGGGATACACGTGCGCGCTCTGTGGCTTTGTTTCGCTTTACCAAGCTCGCACGCGATCTGCTCTGAATACAGAGATACACTGAATACGCAAAAGAGCAGAAGTCGGCGAACTATGAACTGCTCGCATCATTATTACGACCCCCGGCAATCTTATTATATTTCGTATCTCGCAGAGCTGACATCCCATTATCGTGATGGGGGATCGGGATCGCCATGCAATTTCCACTGCCCCAGACGCCATATCTCGCGTTTCCGTCTACGCCTTTGCCATATCTACAATCCGTCGACGGGTTTTATTTTTACGCAATACGATATACGCGATGATAACTATTATTATTTGCAACCTACCATGCATTTATGTATTAATTGTAGTCATTTTCCTTAACAGCTGCAGGCGCCATATCTCACGTTCACATCTACACTTTTGCTATATATATATATATATTGATCGGGTCTATTTTGAACGATGAGGTATGTGATCAAGAACCCTGTAGATTAGAAATAGCGTGAATCACCGCTGCCCGGAAATATCGACAGGCTGTGACTGTGCCAACTGCGTAGTAGTAGACCCAGGCGGCGGTTTATTTATTCACCCGCACATACATAAATCGAAGCAGATTTACAAGCACCTTACGCCACTGCTTCACTCCCTGATAACGTTAGCTTGTCAGTAGGCTTCCTCTCAGGACGACTAAATCGTATAGCAGAGATGCGCCTATGTGCGGGAAGATAGCAGAGCAGCCGAGTAGCCACTAGGGGGCGTGTGCGTTCGTTCAGATTTATCCTTTGAGCTGCAAATGTCGCTCGATGGCGGTCTCTGCGGTCGCTCACTTACCGGGTAGCGCTCTGGGAAATCCGAGCATCGGTATGGAGATGAGGAGACAGATGAAGGCGGCTCCGAAGAAGCCGATCCACCAGGCTCCGACCCAGTTTGAACTCGATGGCTGAAGCCCGAGCCTAGAGCGAAACGCATCGACGATGTAGAATATCATACACAATGGCGGTGAAATGCATGTTCTGCTAGAGATACCGAACGCAATTTCCAGTTGCAGCTTCTATGGGTATTTATACATGCAACTAAAAATGTCGACCCTTCCCCTAAGGTTCAAATAGACGATGCGTGATGAAATAAAAAACTCTAAATTATTTTATCCGCGGGAAAATTTTATTTGGTATTTTTTTTATACGCATGATTTCAGTACAAGATCGATATAAGATTAATTGGCGGCATATATTCGTGTTTAGGTGGTTATATTACATACGAAATCTCTTGGGAATTGATCTGGCGAATGCGTGCACGAAACCAAGTCACGTTTCTCTTAGAAATGGATTGCGGAAAATCTCGGGAGAGCGCAATAAGTGCAACGGACAACTTGACCGCAATGTTGCGGCGGACGGAATCGAATATATTTCAGAATGTCCTTCAAGCCTGCACGATTGCGTGTACGATTGCGTGTACAGCTGTCGTTGCGGTGTACGCGTGCACGTTCGTGCGTGTATATGTGCGCGTATTTATGCGTGCCAGCGCGCGTAAGCACACGCGTGCACGTTCGTGCGTGTACGTATGCGCGTATGCACGCGTGCGTGCGCACGGGCGCGCGTGAGTTCACGAGGATACCCACGCTGTAGAATATGATCACTTACTCGGTCGGGTCGACCATCGGAGCATCGACGTAGATCTGCAGCAGATATCCGCCGGCCATGTATCCTATAGCGGGCCCTACTAGCGCCATCGTGTAGTAGATAGCTGGCAACAATAAAACGTTACACATTCATTTACGAACGCGTGCGATACAGAGATGAATGCTAAATGTAAAGATGCTAGAATGAATCCTCGATAGCCTACTTCGTGTAATTCCAGTTTTCATTAGAGAGAAATATTTAGCGCTATAACATTACAACGGCAGCATAAACAACAACGATAACGACAACGACAACGACAACGATAACGACAACGACAACGACAACGACAACGACAACAACAGCGACAACAACAACAGCAACAACAACAACAACAACAACAACAACAACAATAATAATAATAATAATGATAATAACATGAACATCAACGAAATAGTCGAGCACACCAGCACGCGGTCTTTGTATACTCCATCTAATCTGCCGGCGTATTTTCCTTGACAAATGCGTTTTCCCCCTAAACAACCTAGCAAACTACTTCGACGTTATCTCACAAGAACTTGTGGCCCGAGGGAGAGAGAGGCGACTATAAATAGAGTACGCCGCACGTTTACATAAGTGATAGGCGTGTGACATCGTCAGCAAGGCGCGACTGTCGGGTCACTGACTCGCATTGGGAATTGAGGGACCGCGCGCGCGTGTCGCCAGCCGACAGATTTTCGTCATCCACGAGGCTGAGCGCGCGTGTTAACGCACGTCGGCCATCTCCCGTTAATCGATGAGCCACTTACGCTCCACTTACAGCGCGGCCGGAGTTGCTACAACAAGCACCGGTAGGATTGCCGCGAGGCTGCGCGCGTGTGAAGGAATGATGTCCACTGTCGGGGTCAGTGGCATGGTCGGTGTTGCTGGGGGCGCAGAATCACGGACAAGATAATGATGATATCGCCGACGTGCGGTAGTTGATGAGGGGCAGAGCAACTAAAGTAATCAGGGTCGAGAAAGAAGTGGGCCGACGATGATCATGGCTAGATGAGTCGTAATGGGCATGGGATGTGGATGATGCGAAGATGGTGAGATGGTTAGGGTTGGGGATATGGGCGCTGAGACGATCA